GAGAGAGGGAGAGAGGGAGAGAGGGAGAGAGGGAGAGAGGGAGAGAGGGAGAGTGGAGACAGAGAACAGCCAATGGGTAGAACAAAAGACTTGTGTAGGTTGTATGTACTCAGAAAATCACACCTTCGTTCTGTTTTTTCTCTCCTGCCATTCCTCCTCTAGGTTGGGTTGAACCCTCTGCAAGAGTGTGTGTGTCTGCATTTCTGTCCACTATCTGTCTCTTCCGCTTTATCCTGGTCTCAGCTTGCATTCTGCTGTCGTTAACATCCACAGAGCTCTTCCATGCTTTCTGAAAGGTGTCATCACTGGGAGAAGTCACACGAGATTCAAATGAGCAACCAGCGAGCGGCTGCTGACAGGCACCTGCCCTCAGGAGGACAGGCGGCGTTGATACTGAGAAAAATCTCACTGGGTGAGGATCACTCTCTAGCCTGGCCTTCAGAAAACCCTGAATAGCAAGCAAAGGTAGCACAAACCAGACAACAAAAACGCACACGCACAGAGAAAAAGAGGATCCATGTGTTGCAAAACACTTCAGCAATTCTAGCCCAGTCAAAGTGAGGATAAATAACATTAAATGTGAGTGTGTGTGTGTATGCATTTTTTCATGTTCGCGGTACACAACTGCACAAGAAAAGCATGACTGTCATCGAACCACTTTCACCGACTCATCAATTCCTCTTCTTTTTTTTTTTTTTTTTTTTAAGGCCAGGGTGTTATAGAGTTTAAGGACCAGACCCACGGTGATCGCTGGCAGCAGCAGCCGATGGTTGTCCTTCCCTACCCTTCCCCATGTTAATTCTCCCAGCACACCCCCTATCCCTACTATCTTACCTCAGTGTGACCAGCACTCAGGACCATCACCCAACCTATATCGAGGGCAACTTGGACCAGACAGCAGTGACAAGCACCAAGGCTGGGCAGCCCAGCCCTAGTGTAAGAGGAAGCGGACGAACCTTGCCGTACGGGAACTTCGCACGCCAGGCTCATGCAATCTTTTTTCTACAGGCCCAATATCGGAGAGTCTACCCAGCAGGAGTACCTAGGCAAGGCAAGCTGGCGCCCACGGACGCATCCTACCATCCTCCCCTAACTTACCCAAGGCTAGGCGGAACTCAGACTAGCCGGAGTGACTTGTATCCCTACCCTACCCTAGAGTCTAAGCCATGCATGAGCAGAACCCGTCATGTACATGACAGACCCCCCCCAGCCCGGTATTATAGTTGCATGTATATGTGTACCAGGAAGCTATATATACGTATGAGCCCATAGGCTATGTGTATGTTCACAAGCCATGTTTTCGTGTATGCCCGAAGGCTATGTATGCTCTGTGTAACTGTATAGCAAGATGTATGTCCCGAAGGCCAGATATGTGCACTACTATGTAGAGGGAACACTGTCTTCGTTCGAGATGACAGGCGAAGCTGGGCAAGAACCCCCCAAACTCCCAAGCCAGACTCAAGCTCGTGATCTTGACTCTACCATATGAGCAACAATCGCAAACAGCACCTATGTGTGATATGCCAGACTGGGGAGATCAACAGAACAACAATGACCAACAACGACAAGCAACCCCATCCAGACTCGACATACAACACCATGGACAACCCTTGGGTGGTGCGCAGGCAGTGTCTGTACTAGCTTACCTGTGTCAGTCCAAGGGGCTATGCAAGTGACCGTGCATTATGTAAACGCCCTCCAAAGTCTCTGCGTGAAGGTGTGGAGTTTTGAACCCACACCCTCAGACCACACTGTGCATTGACAACCGGTGCCCTAACCACTGAGCCACAGCACATGTGGCCCGGTCAAAGCGAGAAACGTGTGCATGTGTGTCTGTGAGAGAGAGAGGGGGGGGCTGGGGAGGAGCAGGGATACCACAAAACAGACATGGAGAAAGAGAGAAAGCGTGCATGCGTGTGTCACCTGGCTGAATAAGAGATCAGATATGTTGAAAGGCCAAGGTGAATCCTATGGGTAGGGGTGGAGGAAAGACACAGTGGAAAACTCGATCAAATGATCAAATGAACCAATCAAGTGAATCCACGCACAGCACACCCAGAAGAAAATGTGCGCACAGAATCATCAGTAACAAGGAGACATGCATAGAAGAACACCTCCCAACTAAATCCTGCATACACAACAACAACGACCGTGACAACAACAACAATCATGATGCTGCGTAGTTCATAAGAACTGGCTCAAGCCTTCAAGATGTATTTGCCCAAACGTAAAACTCTTTCTTCTCCTTTCTTCTTTCTTTCTTCTTCCTCCTCCTCCTCCCTCCTCCTCCTCCTCCTCCTCCTCCTCCTCCTCCTCCAAACAATTCAAACCGCTCACAGCAGCCAATCAACTCAAACAATCTGTGTCACACATGCCACGTACAACAACTCAAAGCTGTCCTCAGCAGCAGTTATTTTGCTATCATGTTTTCTTTTTGTTACGCTTCAGCCATGGATCGTAGAAGAAGAACATTATGAAACTGCTCAAGGAGTAAGAGAAACATCGCAACGTTGTGAGGACTTGCAAGACATATTGATACCATTGCTTTAGACAAATTATGTGAAGGTCATGAAGGCGATGGTCTAATAGTTGCACACATCACTATTCAGCTGCAAGGCTGCGTAGAGTGCACAGTTGTTTTTCTTCTTATATGTTTGGCAGTCTTCGAGTGTATACTTGCAGATTGGCTGCAGAGAAGAATCTGTTTGTGTTCTCAGGGGAGTTCAAGCTGAGAGAAGGGCTGTTGGGGCCATCCTGGGTTCGATCACTGGGATGGCCCACAACTTAATGGGTGATGGCCTTGGAATTTGAGCCCGGGCAGATATATTTCTGGGAAAGTAGAAAAGGCTGCAGTCTGTAGTGTGTGGGCCAGTAGCTGACAATCTAGTTTTCAGGGTATACCATGGACATTGACATGTCGCTTCTCGTTTTCAGGGTATACCATGTACATTGACATGTCGCTTCTCGTTTTCATACTTCCTTCTCATGTTGGAGTTAAAACAGATGATTTCCGACTGTTTTCTTAACTGAGTCAGGATATACACAAACCTCATGAGCCTTGTGCGTGACGAAGCCAATGTTCCATCCTGGCTCAGCCGAGGCCAATGCATTGGCAAGCACCTGCAAAGAATCCCAGGAAAGTTCCAAAACGACAAGAAAAGGGGACAAGGCGCAATCATAAACCAAAACTTGATCGTATAAATTGCAAGGAAAAAAAAAAAACAAAAAAAAACATGCTGGGTTTATGAATTGCAGACCCCAGAAACTGAGAGTGAAGATGCACAAGCAAATCCAGCAAATCCACATAAAACACATGAGGGCACCAGAGCAACCCACCAGGAACACTCCCCCCTTCCCCCTCCCCCCTTCTCTCTCTCTCTCTCTCTCTCTCTCTCTCTCTCTCTCTCTCTCTCTCTCTCTCTCTCTCTCTNCACACACACACACACACACACACACACACACACACACACACACACACACACACACACACACACACACACACACAGAGCAGCTAAATACCCTTGCTTTGGACCAATCATCCCCGTCGTCGTCTGCTCATAGAGATGCCTTGTGCCGTGAGGATTATGAAGGGATAGTACATGCAAGTTTTTTGCTTTCATACGTACGACAACAGTCAGTACTGCACTCATGTACGGCACCCTGACCAATTTGTAGACGGGCTGGAACGGCAATGCCTCTATAATTGCTGTTCATCGACGTGCCTCCATGTTCCTAGCATGTAGGAGCCCCATGGCCTGTGACATCTGTCTGCACCGCGCCCTTCAATGCAGCAACTGCAACTGCAAAAATTGGACGCGGTGCTTCCGCAGTCCACACCCGAACCAGTCCTGTCACGTATGTAGGTGTGGCCACTTGCCATAGGCAATAGCTGCTGCTCCTCAACTCAAAATCTTATGCAACCCAAACACTAACTGACCTCAGATGCCATTCTAGAGTAGTCTGTTCCAGCGGTGAGTTTTAGAATTCTGCCAAGTCCATCATATATCTCTCTCTTTTGCACGCCATACTCTATCCTGCCCTTCACATATTTCTCTCCTGCCCTTTTCACTCCACGTCCCCCTACCCCTCCTATCCCTTTCCCTCCACCCTCCTCTTATGTGCTACTAGCAAATAAATACAAATGAGCATCGTTAAGAGAACAGACAAAGTATAAGCTGAAGATCTGAAGTGAAATGAACAGGAGTGTGAAGATCAGAAGTGAAATGCATAGGAGCATACCTTCCCCTTTACTCTGCCTCCTGTTATAACGTGCAAGTGGGCCGTTAAGGCACACGGGGATGTGGGCAGCCTTGTACGTGCGAGGCATAGTAAACGAGGAGCTGTCGCCCCAAAGAAACCCCAGCTAAACACAGTTCTAAATGGTTCTATTATGATTCATTCATGTTGCTCGCTAAAGAGGTGAAATTGTTTAATTATTGGGCCGTCTTAACTCGAATCTACTCATCTGGGTGGAATATGGGCTGTTGTGGTGGAAATTTAACACACACACACACACACACACACACACACACACACAAAGAGAACCGACGTAACCATACTTAAGAAAGGGAGATAATGCCGCAGCGTGCAATGGCTCCTAGCACACGCAGCCCTCCCGGTCAGTCAATGGCTCCACAAAAGAAGGAAACACTCAGACCCAGACAGCTCAGAACTCTGCATTTTGTGCAACAACAACACACCAGAAGATATCCCCCACTGCCTCATGTCCTGAAGCGAGATCTAGAACAAAGTTCGGTACCTATGTTCCATCCTCTTTTTAGCCCCACCCCCAAACACCTCCCCTCTAACTATCCTACTCCTCTCTAAGACTCCCGGGAAGTTCAAAGGAAGCAAGGAAGTCTGGTTCAATCTATTCAGAAAACTGGCTCTCTGGGTCATATGGAAACGCAGATGCACAGGGACAATTGAAGGAGCAGAGGTATCAAGGGAGGAAATGTGGACTCTTCTGATAAGCATGGTGGAGACCGAAATTCGGGGCAGGTGGCGGAAAATATCCTCATCCATGATGCACAGACCAGAAAAGCACGCATTCAAAAGACGAACATTCCTGAGGAACTGGTTGTTAAAGGGCAAGATCGCCACCATAGCGGACAACAGGCTGATATGGGAAAAAAAGTGGCATCAGGCGTAGCCGCAAAGCAACGGAACACCACGTAATCTACCAAGGAGGAATAGTACAATGAGCACAAGAACAAGCAGGGTGACGAGCAGGATACAATCGAGGGTTCAGATTGGAAGAAGGGGCCCTCTCCAACAACGACAAGGAATGCAGTCCCGAGAAGGACAAATTGAGGCTTTCGTCTCAGACGGACAGACATCTCCCCCAGTTTCTTGTGCTTCAACACCTATTCGACAGAACCAACAGGGTTGCTGAAAGGAAAACTAGGGTAGGGCAAGCTGACAGTCAGTCCTCCCAAGCAGGAGTAATCAATGCTGGTCAGGGTTCCTTCAGCCAGACGGAAGGAAGGGTGAGCGTGTATTGCAATGTATTCAATTTTGACTTGCCGGGGGAATAGGAACCGGACTGACGCTCCCCAGAATGGACATGGAGCCAGGGCCATAAGGACCTGTTTAAAGAGGGGAGGAGGGGCGGGGGAAAGAAAAAAAAAGAAAGAAAGGGAGGTTGCTCCTTGTTGCTTGCTATGGAGGTAAAACTGTTTCATTGCTGGACTGGCTCATCTCAAGTGTGCTTCATTGTCTGCAATAGAGTTAAAGTTGCTTTGATTTTGGACCTACTCATCTGGGTGGAAGAGGGGCTGTTGTGGTGAAAACCAACAACACCCCCCCCTGTTAGAATTGGATTGCAAAAAAAAAAAAAAAAAAAAAAAAAAATTGTATGCGGTGCTTCCACAGTCCACACCTGAACCCGTCCTGTCCTGTCTACAGTAGTGGCCACTTACCATAGGCAACGCATGTTCCTCCACCCACCTTTTTTTTTTTTTTTGTCATCCTTGAAAGCGCAGGGGCCATGCTAATCTTCTCTGTATCGTTCCCATTTTAACGGATGTCCCGAAGGACTCCACCCACCTATTTTCTCTGGAACCCTCAACCCATTTTTCTCTGGAACCCAAATACTGACTGGCCTCTTGTGCCATTCTCCAGCAGTCTATTCTGCCAGTGAGTACTGACAACCCTATGAGGTTCATTTTTCCATTCACACGAGAGCCGAGCCAGGAAGGTTCATTTTTCCCCTGATCTGTTTCTTCCTCCATACACACAAGAGCCAGGAAGGGGACGATTCCGTTGGCCTTTCTTTCCCCCGAATAGAGCGCATGGTCTTCAAGGGCAAGGATTAAGCTTTTCTAGCAGTTTATCTGCAAGATCGAAGGGCAAGAGACGCTTAACGGTCTTCCCCCGAATAGAACGCACGGCCATTATGGCTGTACGTGGGGTCCCCCCGAATAGAACGCACGGTCATTAAGGCTGTCTTTGAACCAACTTACACTCTGGTTACTGCCATAATAATGACGTACGTTCTATTCGGGAGAAGAAGACGGTATAGTAATCACGCCCCTCAGGTCTTCCCCTCCTCTTCGCAATTTACTTCCTCCTTGATTTCGCCGAAGCAGAAAACTAATCGGCGACTCTTTGACGGAATCTGCTCATATTTCCTGTCAAATGCATCCAGGAAAGTTACGGAATCTGGTCACGTTTCCAGTCAACTGCATGCAGGGACTATGCCCTTTTCTTTAATAGACAGGACTTCAGCACATATTATCCTCTAAATGGAGGCCTTGCCTGATGATGTTTTCTTCCCCACTTTAAAAAAACGTTACGCCCTTCGGGACATCCGTTAAAATTGGAACGATACAGAGAAGATTAGCGTGGCCCCTGCGCAAGGATGACACGCATAAATCGAGAAATGGTCCAAATTTAAAAATTTAAAAAAAAAAAAAAAAAAAAAAAAACACTTACAAACAGAAGCAGTCGATCAAACCGTACAGTTCCCAATTCAGACCCCTCTATTTACTTTTTTTTTTTTTTTTTTATGCTTGTATACGTACTTTTTTTTTTTTCCCGGGGGACGTACATTTCCTAGAAGGCGACAGGACAAAGAACCTTCATTTGTTTTACTACCTTCTTCAAATCAGTCGAAAATTATTACCATAACCAATCATTTCTGTCGAATTTATGCGATTAAAAAAAAAAAAAAAAAAAAAAAAAGCCCGCTATCGCATTGCGTGCCAAAGCGCGCCACTGCGTTGCAGGGGGCAATGTCGTCCCCTTGTCCCGAATACTACGCCTACTAACGGTACAATAAGCAATGTACCAGTTGGTCACAGCCCAATACAACCGTTCTGGGGGCGTTCTATTCGTTCAGAAAATAACTGTGATTAAGAGAATAATCGGCAAAACTTCCGCAAAAGGCAAAAAAAAAAAAAAAAGAAACAGCCCCTAAGGTTATCAGGTAGCTATGCTTTGCAGGGGTCCCCTGTATAGGCTTAGGAGTAGTGGTAGGTAGATAGTGAAAGGTGAAATTGAGAGAAGAATATAGCCTAGTTTTTTTCTATAAAGTAAGATAATTATAGACAAAAAAATAGTCCCACTGCGGTAGCTGGGGTTTAGACTTGGTTGCGAGTACGCACCGGTTCCACGATCCGGGGCCAAGTCCCCCTAGCAGCCTTGAGCTACCTCAACGCCTGAATCTGGACGTGTTTGTGGAGACGTGCAGTTCAGGAAACTAAACACCATTTCTGCACATCTCCGCAAAAGCGTCCAGATTCAGGCGTTGAGGTAGCTCAACCGATCGGAACATCTCACTGTTGGTTATATGGATCCGTACTTCTGGGCCTAAATCCTCCTCAGTGCAACCTGCACGCACGGATTCGAACGGGCGACCTCGGCCTCAAGAGCCAAGTCTCATAACCACGGCCACACAGCGGCCATGTTGAAAGAGAGTATATACTCCCCGGTAGTGGGGAACTTAGCCCCCGATGAAAGACCACTGAAAACACTGAGGGATGAAAAAGAAAAGCCAATACCTTTCTCGGCCTTTTGGCTAAGATCAAGTGTAGTATCCGTTCTGATCAGTTTAATATCTGATCCATGGTCCATCGGACCACTACGATATTAAATTAGTATTTTTTCTGGGTTACGGAGGGGTCACAGGGGTAGGCTTGCCTGCTCGACCCCTCCAGCGTTGCCAGTCTGTATTGAACTGCGGCAGAGTGCGGCGCGGCCCTATTCCCCTCCGGGGGAGTTAAAAAAAAAAAAAAAAAGCCGGGCAGGGCTAAATGGGAAACATGGTGGTCAAGAATGGGGTGGGGCCGCCGGTGGGGGTCCGGCTAACGCAAAGACCGAGCATTTTGCCAGCCAGTAGCTGCGCCTTCCTCCCTTTTCATCAACATGCATCCCCTCTATGTTGGCAGGGGTCCCCTGTCTAAGCCTTAGGAGTAGTGTTTTTTTTTTTTTAATAGAAAAAACCCACCGGTGATAGTGGTGCTGATAAGAGCAGACACCACTACCCCCCCGGGAGAGGCTCCATCTATTGGTGGGGAGCATCACCTGCTGGAAAACGGGTCCAGCTTCCCATATACAGGATGAAAACATCAGAAAAAGCAATAAGGGAAACTGCCAGCATCGATTAGTGGTAGGAGGTAGTGAAGGTGAATTGAAAGAATTTGAAAGATGATGAAAAAAGATTTGAGAGAAGAATGTAGCGTAGTTTCAAAAAAAAAAAAAAAAAAAAAGAACAAAAGGAAACATCTCACGGGCGCAAAATTCGGGAACTTCACAATTCGCCCGGAGGACAGTTCTAAGGCCATTACCCAGCTTCGGCTTGTTGTCAATTTAGTGGAAATTGGTTGTGTGTGTTATTGAATTTTAAACCAAAAAAAAAAAGAAGGGCAAATTCACCTGGCAGCCAAGAGGACACAAAGAGATCGACTCGGGAAAAGAAGAAGAAGAAGAAGACTTGCATTGCTTTGCATTTTCTGTCCAGGATCCGATCTCAAGAATAGAACACGCGACCTCCCTCATGGGAGTTGCACGCTCAACCAAACGGCTAAGAAGAAGATGAAGAAGGAATAGAAGTAGAAGAAGAAGAAGAAGAAGAAGAGGGGAGGAAGAAGAAGAAGGAGAACGAGAACCTGAGTACCCGTGCTGGGGTGGGTTTAAGTACTCATCTTGGGGCTTAACTTTCACCCCAGTCCACTTAGCCGTTTGGTTGAGTGTTTACCTCTTAACGTGGAGGTCGCGTGTTGGATCCTTGGGTCGGTGCCGACGGACAGATTGCTTACACCTGGCTGAATGGAATGCACGTGTAGCTGTTGATGGTCAGATCACGTGTTCGAATTCTACTGGACTGAAGATTAACCAATGAAAATAACAAATGAAGTAAAAAACAAACAAATAAAAGTGATAAAAAGTCAGACTATAACCTTAAACACGAAGAAGGAAGAAGAAGACGAAGAATGGAAGGAAGACAGAAACAAAGACGAAGAGGCGGCTACAATAGGGAAAAAGAACAGAAGAAGAGCTCGAGGGAGAGATCGATAAAGGAGGACAAAGGGACGAGGAAGGAGAGCTAAGAAGAAGAAGAAGACAAAGAAGAGGGACAGGAAGGAAGAGGAAGGAGGAAGGAGGAGGAGGCGTAGGAAAAGGCGTAGGATAAGAAGAGAGGGAGAAAGAGGACCCAAAAAAAAGGCGAAGACGAAAAGGAAGAGGACCAGGGGAAGGAGCAGGAAGGAGGAGGCAGGAGGAGGAAGGAGGAGGTGTAGTAGAACGCATAGGATAAGAAGAGGGGGAGGAAGAAGAGAGGGAGAAAGAGGACCCAAAAAAAAGGCGAAGACGAAAAGGAAGAGGACGAGGGGAAGGAGCAGGAAGGAGGAGGCAGGAGGAGGAAGGAGGAGGTGTAGCAGAACGCATAGGATAAGAAGAGGGCGAGGAAGAGGAGCGAAATTTTTGACGAAGACGGCAGTTAGGAGGCGGGCGAAGACAAGGACAAATGACACGGGAGAGAAGGCGGAGAAGAGAGAGACGGAGTAGAAGAGGAGGAGGAGGAGGAGGAGGAGGAGGATGAAGAATGGCAAGATAAGAGGAACTGATACAAAGGGGGGGAGAAGAATGACAGGAGGGCAGGAGATGCAGAAAGAATAAGAGACTGACAGCAACAAACCGGGAGGCGGTGAAGGACAACAAGGATGGCGGACAGCGGAGTGAGCGCCACTCATTGTCATTACCACACATAAGAGGGTCGGGGCATTTCTGCTCTCGTGACCAGCGATGGAGAATGAGGAGAGGCAGGAAACGCATTGGTCATTCAACCAACAAAAAAAAAAAAAAAAAAAAAACACTTATTGGTCATTCATAGATTGGCACAGTTCTGAATCAGACGAACCGCGATTGGCTGTACATCGCCCCTTGTGCCGAAGGCAAGGAACAGCACTGTTGTCGATGTACTCATCTTCGGTGTGAACCGACAGTTTTGTCTTTTCCCGCCACCTAACGCAGCCAATGTACAAATCCAACCGACGAGCGCGCGTGAGTTGATGGTGAAAATCGCTACCCAGCCCTGACTTCAACTTTTCCCGCCAGTGAGTTGATTGGTGAAAATCGCTACCCAGCCTTGACTTCAACTTTTCCCGCCAGTGAGTTGATGGTGAAAATCGCTACCCAGCCTTGACTTCAACTTTTTTTTTTTTTTTTTTTTTTATTGTGGTCCGATGGACCACGGATCAGATATTAAACTGATCTGAACAGATACTACACTTGATCTTAGCCAAAAGGCCGAGAAAGGTACCCAGCCTTGACTTCAACTTTTCCCGCCACTGAGTTGATGGTGAAAATCGCTACCCAGCCGAATACAAAACTTTTCCCGCCAGTGCCACCCAAAGCAGCCGAATACAAAACCCGCCTACGCGAGCTCGTGTTATTATCGTTGGTCCCCCCAATTGGCATTAAAAAGCAGTCTCTGCTGATGTTCATAGGGGGAGGGGTACTCAGGGAGGCACAGCGACTGGCCACTCAGATGATGCTCGGTCCCTCTGCTACGGGCTGTCCCCTGGCCGGTGCCCCCCAGTGTGGGATCCCTGAAGGCTATCAGGCCACCCTAAGGCTATCAGGCCACCCTAGGGCTATCAGGCCACCGTTGTCAGATTAGACACAAGATTGAATTTACCTGGGGCGTGGTCCCACTAGCAAAGTGGATCGGATCGAATGCCTGAATCTGGACGTGTTTGTCGAGAGGTGAAGGAAATCGAGATTGAACTGCTTTTCTCCATCTCTGCATAAAACACGTCCACATTCAGGCATTCGATCCGATCCTCTTTGCTAATGGGACCTCGGCCCTGGGCTCGTTAGTTGGATGATAATTCTTTTTTTTGTTTTTGTTTTTTAATTTTTTATGTTTAAAAAAAAAAAAAAAAAAAGTCCGATGATAATACCTCAAGGCCATCGCCCTTTTAAGAAAAAAAGAAAAAAAAAAGGATAATGGCCGGCGCCCCCTTCGGTACATCCCAGCCTCTTTCTCCCTGGGCCATGTCCCGGGTCCAAGTCCCACTCGGCCGGATTCTTCATTTGGGCCCTTTATCTTTAGAAGGGACGAGTAGACGTCGAGAATTCGGGTAAGTGGGACTTGGGCCCCGCTTGCGGTGGTTTGGTTTTGGTCTCATGCGACAGTCTAGATGCAAAAGCAGCCCATAAGGTAGGCTGGGCCTTCGTCTTCACCTTTTTTTTTTTTTTTTTTTTTTTTTTTGAAGGGCCCATGTGCAAGACCTCCATCCTGGTGGTGGTAAGAGAACCACCAGGATTGAGGCTTTGCCTGGCGGGCCGCTCCATCTATTGGTGGGGAGCATCACCTGCTGGAAACCGGGTCCAGCGTCCCATGATATATCTTACATAGCTCAATGAAGGGAGTGGTGCCCATGTGCTGGAAACCAGGTCCAGCGTCCCAATCCAAATTATCACTTCCTTACCTATCCTACCTACCCTGCGGCTGGGCCGGGGATTGGAGGGGGGCACTGGGGGGCACCAGTGGGATCTCCCTCCATCCCTTAATCCCTGCCATCCACCCACTATCCATAGGGCGCCTAGGAATAAGAATACAGAGGGAATGTGTCTGGAAATGTATCTGGAATGCATCTAGAATGTATCTGCTGGAAACCGGGTCCAGCGTCCCTTGATAGCACATTACCCCACCCTTCTCTAGTCCGTTACTTGCACTCCTTGCAGGTGTTCCGATTACAGACCAGAGCAATAGCAACAGGAGGTTCTGAACCCAGCAAACATCTAACTGAAAATTTGAACAGTACAGAGACTCAGCCTTGCAGCCTGCTGAGTTTGCTTACAAAGGAGAGATAGGAGAGATAGAGAAACAGTGTGAAAGCGATTATGAGCCCAGCAGCTAGCTCAAAACAACTGGAGAAACGGCTGTGAACCAGGTAGCACTGAGATCTCTTATGTCCTGGGTGATGTGTGTCTACTGGCATCTCGGCTCATGTCACTGGTAGTGCTTCCGCCAGGGACACCGGGTGGGGGGGAAAGAAATCTGCAAAGTCCTGGGCTGGCCGTAGTGGGACGCCCGGGTCCACTTTAATCCAGTCATGGAAAATCAACTATTAATCCCTTACCATTTCCTCTCGGGAATCTGCACTCCGGTTTACTCCGGACCATTTTATCTCAGCCACCCATCCTTCCCTATCCCCCCCAAGCCAGTGTTTGCTGAATCTAGAGATAATCTTGTTCATGTCCCCCCAGGTATACGACTGATCAAGCTTCTCTTTAGCTGCTCTCCATTGGGTTGCAATTTCATATTGAACCAATGTTCGTATTTGCTTCATAGCTTCTCCGTCTTCTACCTGCGCCCCCTCTATCTCTAGGATGCATCGCTTCCACCATATCGTCCATAGGACGCTCCGCCTACCCAGTTTGAACATGTTTTCCACAAATCTGTTCCCCCGGATTGGAGGGTGATATCCCAAGAGTATGGCCCTCCAGTCCCACGGCCATGTCACACTGGGAGCAATGTGTCGCCAAATCCTATCCCAGCTTCTCCACAGTAGCACTGACGCAGGGCATTGGAGAAAAATATGTTCTATAGTCTCCGCCCCCCTCGTCCCAGGGAAGCTCTGCAGGCATTTGTGGCACCATGGTAGTGCTTTCCCTTGCTGCTCCAAACGTGTATGGTCTATCAACCAGTCGTTGGTTGGTAGACACCTATGTTCTATTTGCCATTGGAGGGCTGAGATTTTGGCGGGTCTACAACTATAGTGAGCGAACCATCGAATGCGCTTAAGCAGGCTACGGTCTGTGTTAAGATGGCGATACCATCTGTCTTCCGCGCGGTCCCGCAGTCTGCATTTGGGTCTGAGCATTCGGTAGGCAGATTTAGTTTTTAGATTGAGTAGTGTCAGTATGTTGTCCTCTCCTTTCCTGGCCGGGTTACGTTGGTTCCATCGCCACTCTTCCGGATCTAAGGGGAGGTCCTCAATGGGGGTCATTGGGCAATACACCCTCCGGTGGCATTCCTCCTCCATAACCCGGATGCGATACACATCATTTTGTTCTTTCCATATGAAGGGTTGTTGGTTCCCTTCTAGTCTGCCATCCTTTTGGATGGAAAATACTTATATTAACACATGTCCTGGGTCTGTAAGGTGCACATGCCCTACCTCTTTCTCATGGTCGGGTAGCCCCACCCAATCTCCTTCCTTCAAACATGGGTCTTTTCTGAGGGTGGTGTACCAATGGAGGGGGAAACTCTCAATAAGGTCGTTGAGTGCCTTCTCAGTAAGATGGCAGTACCGCAGCCATGTACGCATCCTTTCTATGCTCTTCCAGTTTCCGGTCTCCCTGTCCCAAAGGTCCCCAATCCTCCGCACCCCATGTTTTACCCAGCCTTTCCACGGGGCATCCGAGCTGTTCCGCACACGCCCTCCAGAATCTGTTATTAGTCGGTTGCCGAAGAGGGGTTGCCTGAAGATCTCTTCCCACCTCTCAGGTGTCGGTCGAAGTGGGGGGAGGAGTTTCCTTCAGGTACGTATCAAGTGCACCCATTGTTTGTCAGAAGGGTCCTCGTTCCTGTACTTCCTCGGCAACCTCCAATACCTATCTTCCAGGCAAACTCTAGGGTCGATCTCAGGTGGGGTTTCCGGGACCAGGTCATAAATTTGTGCCAGGGCCAAGGGGACCCAAGGGGATGATGTGGAAAAGATAATGCGTTGAAACCAGTGAATCATGAGGGCTTGGAATTGTGTGGCCGGATCCACAATTCCAAGTCCTCCTCCACTCTTGGGCTGAATTACGGATTCCCATGCCACTCGGCTTATGACGTGGGATTTGTTGTTGTCGCCTCTCCAGAGGAAGGCTGCCAACTGTTGTTTCAGTGCCTTGACCCCCCCTGCACTTAAGGACCATAGAATGGCTTTGTACCAGAGGGTGGTCAGGACTACATTATTTATAACAAGCGCTCGTCCGAAAATGGAGGTGCGTTTATTGTTCCATTTTTCCAATTTGGACTGTGCCGGTCCGGCCAACCATTCATCATTGGATGATGGCTTCCCATTGACGGTGACAAGCACCCCCTATCCAAGATGGGTTTTGGAGATGGCTTTTGTAACTGGGTCAAAGCCATGTACATATAAGCAACATCGGTAGTCATGGTGAATGATAGACAGTCTCAGGCCTTTCCGTTAATAAAATCACTTCGCCAGGGTTGCCCCCTGGCCCCTTTGCTATTTGTTATTCAGTTGGAAGTTTTATTATATAATAATATAAGGAGTAATAACAGGATTGTGGGCCTACATCTCTCATCCAATGTCCATTGGAAGGGAGGGGCAATTGCAGACGACCTAACAGTGGCTTGTGCAAATACTACGGAGTCTCCCTCAGAACTGAGAAGGGTTTTGGAAAAATATTGTGTACTCTCGGAAGCGTCAATCAACTGGGATAAGTCCGTGTATATCCTCCCGCCTCTATATACGATCAGCGTTGATTGGGCGCTTAGACAAATCCTCGCCAATAACACTGAACGGTTTTTAGGAGTCCCAAGTCTCTCTCTCAGACTGTTCTAGTGCCCAAGATACTCTACTAAAAGATAAAGTGATCGGTCGGGGATTGGGCTGGGCTAGGACTCATAGGTTTGCCCTCTTTGGGAGAGCCTTGGTCCTATCCCAATCAGCATTCTCAATACTTTGGTTCCCCCTTACAGTCCATCTGTTGCGGGATGAAGCATACAAGGCGATAAAAAAAGTTGGAGCATGTTACATTTGGAAGCCGCAGGCCCAAGAAACCCAAGGCTTTATTACGAAAGTTGCACGGGGGACAATTACCGGTGACAGGAACCAGGGGGGTTTGGGAATCGTGGACCCCATACAACAGAACCACGCCCAGTTGGTAAAGTGGCCATTAATGACGATGTTTGGCCCAAGGAATAAAATGTGGATAGGGTTGGCGGAATACATTTTCACGATCGAATGAAACCTCCAAAAAGGGGAACATA